TCTATTGAAAGCAACCAAGTTTTAGTTGTGTACGGACCATTCCTTCTTCATACATATTAGCAATTCCAAATGTCTGCAGACATTTTGTTGCACCTGCAACCACTGCATCTCTTGGGACAAATACACTGTTCTGACAAATCTGTGAAGCCATCAGGGCCTATAATTGCTGGAGGGGAAACGATCACCCTGACACTTGTTCAAAAATTAGTCATGGTTTACTGCTATTACCGATTTTTAATTATTGGAGACGTCTTCTAAATGTGCGTATGAAAATAATGACAATGTAATGCCAAGTGGTAACAAATGCATTTGTTGTATTGCAAGTAGCAATGTGATATGCCCAACATGATTTGGAAGGAGTTACCTGGTCTCTCCAAGACACAATCTTTATGTTCAGACCAAAAAAAAGTAAAGCGACTAGATTTTTATCAGTTACCCTTAAGGTTCAAGGGGCATGAGGAGTATTTTTTCAAGTATGAAAAAGTGAAATTTTTTAAAACTTTCGCTCACTGGGCAAGCGAGTGCCAGACCACCCTAAGGTGCGCCGCGCATTCCGCGATTTTCTAATCTGTTTTCACGCTTTCAATTTTGTCACGGCAATTCTCGTCCTAGGTCTTATTTTAATATCAATGTGTTTGCAATAAAATTCTCTACATGACTATATGCTTTGGACTATATGCATACAGTCCAAAACCGTGGCACACCCTTCCCAAAGCCAGGTCAAAAGCTGGCAAAATTTTAAACATTTTGATGCCATACTGCGTCGTTAACGAGCGGAAGTGTTAAACAAATCTCCCGTTATTTGGCATCAGCGTCATGAAAATTTCATCCCACTAGGTTAAGAAATGGATTTTTACGAATTTTTTAAAAATAAATGCGTGCGCGACGAGCAGCAACTGGTACTGATAACGATAACACCATTTCACTGGCAATCGGGGATAAAGCGATGCAAGCACCTGTCCGATTCACAGACAAGTAGTAGAAACGAGGGTCTATGAAATAAATATGCAGCTGGTGCCACCTGGAGGACCAGATTTCACACAATGAGTTTGTTGTTATGCTGTATTTAATTTTATATATAATAAATACATTGCCCAATGGCAATATTTCTTATGTCCCTTTGTGTGAAAAGCTGACAAACCCCCCCCCCTTTTATCTTTCTATGCAGATTTTCTTGCGATTTCTACATCTTTGAGAATGCATAACCTGCACTAACCATATGAAGTTGGAATGAAATTGGTCAACATATTAATCAGCCACAGGTGGCAGAAATTATAACTTTCTTGCAGATTTATTTACAGATTTCAAACTGTTCTGTCTATTTAGGTTGTATTGATGAATGAGGACCAGATAAGGGCCTTATCACATATATGGGCAATAAAATTAGTGCAATACAGTATGTATATTTTGTTATAAGAACGCAAGAATAAAGGTAACAGCAGAAGGCCTATTGGCCCATACGAGGCAGCTTCTATTTATAGCTGCCCAATCTCATTCATGTGTAACCTACTGTTATATAGTTAAGGGGCCCCAGTGTGTTTTACAGTTATCCCTATATTTTTCTTCTTTTTGGTTTTTCTTTACTCCATTTCAACACATTGACCTACAACTTTCACATTCGAGAATGAATACCAAGCAATGTTTAATAAAACATACAAGAAAATTCATTAATTAAAACTACCCATATTGTCAATAACTTCATTTATCTCTAAAACCAGAATTTCTACTTTGAGACCTGACTAAAAATTCAGTTTGACATTCTCACCATTTTTACACATGTGCAAAGTTCTTAGGTCTAAGGATTTCCTTTGAATCCTTTAGTCATAAAACAAAGTTGGGAGTTATAAATATTTTGTGTAGAAATTTGGCATATTTGGATGGCCACATTCAAAAATTGTTTTACAGTAAACTATACTCTTAAAACAAAAATTGCCCCAAAGGAAAATGATCATTATATACCATTCCGAGACCATAATGAATAAAATATCAATTGGTGACGTAAGATAGTTTTAGCAATTTGAAGCTGTGATTTTTTTTTCTCTATTCTTTTCATGGTATGATGTTGATCCATTAGGAAAAGTTGGAGCATTTACCATGAAGATTAAGCACAAAAATAAATTGTGCGAGCAAGTTTTGGTGCACATCCACCAGGCCCCATAATCGGTTTTTGTATTCTCGTATAAATACAAATTTTAATTTCTTATACCTTTAGTTAAGCAAATTGGAATAAAAACAATTTTACTACAAACTTTGTATATAAATTAGTAGAGAAAAAGTTAAAGGAAAATGAAGCAAATCCAATGCTTCAGTTTAGTCATAATAGGCTAAGAAATGAATTAAAAACAAAACCCTTATTTTGGTGTTCCGAAGGAGGAGCTTTTTCTTTATAGCAGTGGGGTAATTTTTTTTTAGTCTACCATGGGAAACTAATGTACCTATATTTATTGGCCTATTTTTCCTAAACTTTTACTTGTTTTATATAAATTCTTTAAATAAAAAAAATTACAGTACAGGTTATACAAATTACCATTTGCACAAGCTTGGGTAATGTTCCATCTACTAACCACTCCCCACTCCACCTTTGTAAGTCGCTTTGCTTTCAATAAGCATTAATTACGACAAAAGCTAATTCCTAAACATTAGTATAACCGACTGGGAGTCAGATATACTCGGTATTCTCAGTACTGAGAATTTACATGTGAAAACTTAGTTAATATCTTGTTGCTTGAGGGATATTGCCCTTAAGCTGCTATAGCCGGGGCTGTAAATGGGGGTATAAGCTGGGGCTGGGTAAAAAAATATTCAAATTTTATGAAAATTTTATGAAAAATGTTAAACAAATCTCCAACTTATTGGCTTCAGCGCCGTGAAACTTTCATCCCAATATTTTCAGAAATGGATTTTAGACTAATTTTTTTTAAAAAGAAGAACGTTTTGTTAACGAGAACAGCTCCTATTAACTGTAACTAAGGGATAATGCAGTAATAATGAGCTGCAAGCACCTGTCCAATGCACAAAGAATAGTAGTAAGAAGTGCCCACAAAGTGGATATGAAGCTGGTGCCTTTTAAAACATTACAGAGTAATACATAATAATAATGATTAAACATATGCTCTATTTTTTTATGCTCATATGTTCTATCTATGCTCATAAAAATTCAATGCCCAATGTTAGTATCTTACTTTCACCAAAGTTTTTTTTGTCCAATGTCCAATTTTATTTTTTCTTATTACATTTTATTATCTTATTACCTGATTTTGGTGTAACCTCTACATCCTGGAGAGTGCATACCCATCCCTAACAATGTGAAGATTGATTCATTTGTTGACCAATTTCATTGTCACAACTGGCTGAACTTGGGACTTGCATTATTTAGGCAGATTTTTTCACTGATTTCAAACTACTTTACTGTACTTTTGTTTCTTAAAGTTGTTTTGATGATTAGGTACCAGATTAGGGCTTTTATCACACAAAGTACACATCTTTATCCCCTAAATCATTATAATTATCCCTACATTTTGTTTTTGGGGGTTATTTTTTTCTTGACTTTATTCAAACATATTGACCTACAACTTTCACATATTTGACTATGAATGCCAAACACTTTATTAATACATACAAGAAAATTAATGAATTAGAACTACTTTATTCATTGTCGATAACATTAACTTCAATTATCTCAAACAAGTTTCAACTTTGTCAGTTTAAAAAATCCAGTTTGATTCTCACCATTTTTACACACAGTGTGCACAGCTGTCTGTTCTACAATCCTATTAGAATGTATTTTTCAAAACACTAAACATTTGGTTATAAATTTGTCTAAATTTGGCACATTTAAAATGCCACATTGACTTTTTTTATAGTAAACTAAACTGTAAACCTATATTATAAATCTATGAAATGACGATCATATGTTATTCTGAGAGCATAATAACACCAAAAGAACAATTGGTGATATTTTATATTTTTGCAGCAGATTTAAAAATATGAAGTGTTCAAATTTAAATTTATAATTTTTTATTTTCTTATTTTTCATGTTTGTGATCATTTGGACAAAGTTGCAGGATTTGCTAGTAGATTATACACAAAAAAGTGGAAAACATTTGAGGAAGTTTGAGAAACTGAACTCATGGTACCATCAGGTCCTGTCATATATGTATGCCATGTGCACAGTTTAAGGGGTTAAGATCTGCCAACAGTACTAGTCTGGCTTGAGAAAGAGGTATCTTAATATCAATGAATAGATAAAATGAATAACAAAATAATGGTTGGTAAGTAATGGTACAAGCAGAATCTAAAAGTGGAAAATAAAATGTTTAAAAATTCATTTACAAGTGTGTTCTGGTAGAATGAATGGGAAAAATTACAAAGTGCCTAGTTTTTTAATTTGAATCAGGCAGTTCAAAAACAGATGTGGTTAAAAAAATATGAGCTATCAATTTTATAGACAAGGACAAATCTATGCTATCATTCACCGAGGCAAGAGATTGACACAACTTGCAAACTTTCTCAAGCCTAATGCTGTGAAAAAAAAAGTGATAGGCTAAATTTTTTGCTAAATAATAGTACTGGTAGTAAGAAGCCTTCCTAGCTTATTTACAAACGAGATCATTTCCCCCTCCCCCCCCAAGCATCAGGTCACAAATTTTGGAACGGCAACACTTACTGTATGTTTTGTTAGACCTACTCTGCACCTCTACACGACTAATGGTTCTAAATTGTTATTGACCAGGTAGTCACCTGACAAGAGATATTATATTTATTTAATAAATTATTAAATAATCTATCTCACCTGTTAGTTTCAAGCCAGTACAAGAAGGCATTTTTTAGATGACCACAAATTTAAGTGAAAAACTTTAGATATAATGCAGCCCAATTGGGGTTAATTATACATTCATGCAATTATTCTACATTTCCAAAAAGAAAATCTTACATTCTGCATTCAGTAACACTACATATTAAACAAACCAAAATGAATGGTAACGGACAAAAATATTTACCATTATCTTTGGTCGAGTCTTTGTCCTTAACTTCAGCAACCTCAGTCTCTTTCTCTTCAGGTTCTGAAAGACGTGGGAATAAAAATCAATGATTGTGTATATAATTACAATAAATGCTTGTGCACATTGTGTGTACAATTATCATTCACGGCAAGAAAGCATTTCAAGGGATCCAAAGATTAAATAAATGAAGGGATGGGGTTACAAAGAGGCAACACTTATCGACCTAATCACTAGTCTTCAAAAGTTAGTGCTGTGGTGTATACTGGTCATCTATTAGGTTAGTTCAAGTCTAGTGGTTTGGAGGAAAGCTATTGTTTTGACAATTTTTGTTAACCTCAATAACTCCAAGTACACCCTAGACAAATTTTTTTTTAAACAAATGAATGTTATCCAAATTAAAATTAAAAATCTACAAATGCTTGATATAAATAACTTAAATTTTGACACATTATATATTTAAATTTAGATACCAATTATTACATTTATCATTTAGGATTAGATTCATGTCAAAATATAAAAATAGGGGACAAAAAAAAAAACAATGAAGCTTGTAAATAGTCAAGAAAAATATTTGGTATGGTCTAAAAATTTAGACCATTTTAGATGGTTTTTGGTATGGTCTAAAATTAGATTTTAAATTTATATCATAGGAATTATGATCACCTTATTTGTCTAAATTTCTAATTAAAAAGCAAACGGATGCAAGTTTGATGAATAATGATGCATGCAACAATGATCTCTTGTGAACCCTCGTACATCAATTGACAAGCCACACTAGGGTAAACAAGACTGGGGTGGGGAGTGCACAATCTCTTGCAGCTTCAGGAAGGTGTCGTATAGTAAGCCTGCTATGCCGGGAGTGTGATGAACCAGATTTCCTGCAGGTATGCTTTCTCTAATATGTTTATTAATTTAATTCTTTTTCAGTAATGTACATTGTCTTCAGTTTGTGAAGTTCAAGTTTGGAGAGAAATTAGTCTAACTCATAGGTATGATCAAGTGATGTAAACAACTAATTGTGATTTTTGAATTAATCTCATAATTTAGGAGAGATGGGGCATAAGGCAACCAGCTGTCACCAGCTAGTCATAAATTGCATTAAAATGGCAAAAAGAAATTTGTATATTTTCATCGTAACTGAGGTTTTACACAAGTGTTATAAATACGGCTGTAATACATTTATATGGATATAAAGTCTAGTGAACAAATTCTCTTCTTACAATTGCTTACTAGGCAATAAGGATATTTGTGCAAGGGGTCTGAAATATTTAAATAATTTGATTTTAACTGCCAGTGTTTGTACCTAGATTGTACCCAAATGGGGTTTGGGGTGGCGTTCTACTCCCCAAGCCTGGCTCAGGGCCAGACTTTACTGGCAAGAGCTTAGTCAAATATGCTGTTGCATTTGAATTTTATACCTGCCAGTGGTTTAATGGTCTCAAAAGTGCAAAATGGTGCAAAAAACTAAAAAATGTATAAAAGCTGAGGACTACAGCTGGTAAGGTAACTGTTCAAAGCTACCAGAATTAACCACTGCACTGCTAACCTGGTTTTGACAAACTTCTTAAGAGCAAGGACATTTTTATTGTTTTTATAAATGTTAAAGTTAATGTCAAAATGTTTCCAAACTCAACGATTTCCATTTCGAAAACAGAGCGATGAAAACATTAAAATACAGCGTAATTAAAAAAAATTCAAAGTGCAGTGGTTAAGAGAATAAAAACTTTGTAGATTACAGATACAAGTTTCAGTGCAATTCACATAAATCACAATTATGTGATATCAATGTACAAATTCACAAGGGCCTGTCTGAAGATTTGAACCTATGCACTGGATATTCCTAGACGCACTCTAGTCAACTGTACCATGACACAGTATAAGAATTGGGCAGTAGCACTCCAGGTTGTAATTCATATACCGTGTCATGGTACTGTTGACAAGAGTATCTGGGAACATTCAGTTCCCAGATACTCAAATCCTTGCCAAGGCCTTTTTGATTTGTTCAATAACAAAATTAATATAAAAAACACAGGCTTAGCATCAGTCTCAATACTGTTGGCTTCAATAACCAGGCGAGACAAATGGTTGGGCACATTGTGCAGTATGCATAGGTTTCCTTTCCAAAAAAAAAAAAAAAAAAAAAAAAAGATTGCCATGCAACACAAACCTTGAAACAAGTACAGATTATACAAGAGACTTCACGTGTATGGGTCACTTTCAGTCCCTCTCAGATGCATAATACAGTATAAAGGATCCATCAACGCTTAACCATTCCAATCGTTAAAAAAAAAAAAAATATCAACAGGCCTTTCGCGAAACTTTGCAAAGTTTTGCGGCGAAATGCACGTGGAAAAATCTTACGCAAATTTGCGTTTCACCTCAATACACTCACTTCCACTACTCTAGAGCGTCACCAAGCACTATAAAAGGCCACAAAACAAGTCCAACGGCCCAACAAGGCCTGTCTGGACTAGCCACTTTTGAAATACAATGGATGAGAGCGGCAAGCGGCGGGAAGGAAGAGTGGCGGTGGGCGGCGCGGGTCACAGCCCCACGTGGGGGGCCGCCCCTGTACTCTCTCCACACCCGCTATATTACACTATATCTCACCACCAAACAATCCCCTCACAACAACACTTACACAACAACAATACAGTCACACTGGCACCCTCGCTGGCCCCGCTCTCACAGCGTGTCATCGCGTACTTTCACATAAAAATGGGAAAAAATATAAGTGTAAGTGAGGGTGTGCGGCGTGGGGTGCGCGGTGGCCGGCCTCCTCTACCACCACCACCACATTCCCACACCACAGTCTACCACACTCCTGGCTCTTATCAACTACCATAACCTGAACTTTTAACTTTTAGCGGCAAAAATCCCTGAAGAACAATGGAAACCGTTTCTCCCCCTCCCCCCCCCCCCAGCCTCCGTCAAGGTAGCCATCTTGGATACATTTCATAAATCGTCGGATTTTAGTTCAATTTGATATTTCATCTTACACAATTACATACACAAGCAATCAGTACAGTGAACTGAAGTATTTGATGCGTAAAATACAATAAATAAGTAGAGATAATGGGTAATATTGGCCAGCAGTAGTCGGCTGCGCCGCCACATTAATTTTTAAGTCTTAAATTCAAGTATTTTTTTCCCCCGTTCTATAGTGGAACACTATTAATATCCTCAATGGAGTTTAAAAACAATAAGTCTCTGTAGCAAACCCATCAACACACAGTGTAACACAGTGAGTACTTGCGTACCAATACTAATATTAGTGCGTCAAGTAGCGGCGGCGGCGGCGGCGTCCCGCTCACATGCGCAAACCCCGCGCCACAATTCACATCATTAACCACTAACACTTTCCTGGCGGCGCTCGCCGAATCAAATGGATAAAACCCCTTCGTCGTGCCCACCTTGTGCTCTGGCCTTAGGAGCCTTTCTTCCCTTTTTGGTGGGAACGGCCTCCTTGGCTTCTGGCGCCTTCCTGCGTCCACTGCTGCGTGTGGTGGGCATGTTGACGGTGTGAGAGTCTGCGTCGTAGTGGGCCGCTACACCGCTCCTCCTCCCGCCACTTTTCCTGCCTCTTGCCACCTCTCACTTTTTAACACAAATCATCAAACTCGCTAAACTTTCCTATCTTTCTCATATGTTAATACTAAAATATTTTAGCTCTAATTCTGCTGATGGTGTTATATAGTGTAAGGATGCCGAGTGGCGCGCGGTAAATTCATTACTGGGATTAACGATATGGCACCATGGCGCGGAGGGAGATTGGTGTTGAGGGGGGGTCACAAAGACGCCTGCTGGCTGGGCTGGCTTATATAATATTGTATTGCTCTTTCTTACAATTATACACCGGAAGACACACTCACATCTTCACAATTGTCCACAAAATAATTCACAATAGTTTGATTGTATTAAGTGTCGACTTTTCCTACGCAATATAACACTAGATTTTCACGAATAATGGAAAAAAAATCTTATTTAAATCTGAGAGTGAGCAACATTTATACTCATCCCCGAAAGCGTCTATAATACACATATATATAATATACTCATAAAATAAAATGTTGTGTCGTTCTCGACAACACAAGGCGGATTTAGTTGTCAGTCCTCGGCGTAACAGGATGTAACCGGTTTACCCCCCTTCCCCTCCCACAGTAATCGAAGCCACTGGATCCCGCGAACAACGGTCATATCTGTGACGGACAAATTGAATCGAAGTTGTTATTCATAAAATGGCGGGTAAATTACTCCGCGTTATTGGAATAGATTATTAAAACTTAAAATTTACGAGTACATGAATCCTTCCCGCTGCCATCAACGATAACACTTGCATGCTATACAGCTAGCAATACCTGCCTTCGTTAATGTAACATAAATGAAATTTGTGCAGTTTAAAATTTAAAAAAAAGGTTTTGACTGGCAATTTGACTGGCAATTAAATGGCTTTAACTGGCAATACAAGTTATAGATATTTAAAACATTATTACACTTTATCTTTTGCTCTTTTAATTTGTAAGCTTGGAGCACCTATAGTAGTCAGCGCGGTCGGGTCATAGCGGCAAGACAAGCGTATAGGCAGCGTTTCCTTTCACCTGATGCCTCTCTTCACCTAGCAGTAAAGGTTAGTAGGTAGGTTATGCAACTCTTCTGGGTTACATCGTGAGGAACCTCATTAACAAACTTTCTGTTCCCAATAATTTGAGATACGAGATACCATTATCATTTATTTACAAATAATTATAATTAGTTATATATATAACTATAATTATATATATATATATATATATATATATATATATATATATATATATATATATATTGCTATCAATATTTACCCTACATTTACATACCCAAGATGATAATTTGCATTCAGAATGTCACCTTAATAACAACATCTGTAATTACTTACTAACTCTCCAGTATGCAAACTACGTATGTAAATTAACACATTCAAGTTTGACTGGCTTAGTCATGACACCTTGACTAACCTAGTCATAATGTACTGTATACATTCTTACGAATACAAACTATTGTTATTTGTATGATTAATTGCTTAAAAATCTTCTTCGCCACCTCATTTGCACCAATGCACGACGATATGAATGGCGATAGAACTTAAAAAAATCTACGTTGCCTTGCGTTCTGTTACCCGCTTAGTCTGATCGGCAGCGTTGCTTGCTCCTTGTAATGACATCCTAATTTAGCATTTTCTGTTCCATCCTATTAACGCTGTTAAATTTTCCCTAAAGGTTAGTACGCTTGGCGTTGGAACCCAACGGTGATCCAAGTACACTGTGCTGTTAGTGGCCAAATGACTGAGGCTTTGGGTAAAAAGGATTTCACTGCCCTAATTACTGTATGCCTTTATCTCACACTTGGAAAGGCTGAGAATGAGACTCATTATCTCTCCCTGAGATTTCACCATCTGATAGGTCTGATAGCAAAGATTTGAACCTGACAGGGTGCCGTCATCCAGACTGATGCTGGATGTGATGTGATATCTTAAAACAGCTTAGAGGAACAGTCAAGATACAAGGGGTATATCTTATCTATTGGACTCCTTCTGTTGAACTAACTTTTTGCTCCTGAAACAAGTGTCACATCTTTGTTATACGCTGCTGATACACTTTTTTTTTAATACATGAGGTACATCTGCATTTGTGCAGCTACTCTAGACTATATGAAGTGGAGTACAGTGTGTCAAAAAAGCTAACTAGGTGCTGCTAAAAACTCCCCATCACACACAGGGAAGAAGGCTTGGATAGTGTTGCAACAAGTCTTAATAAGATTCTAATCACGTGTCTGCTTCTCATGTGTTCATGGCTGCCTCTCAATCTAATAACACCGACCTCCTCACCATCGGGACCTGTTGTTAAACGATTTGGCGGGTCATATTCCAGGGGGAAAATAAAGATTAAGGACCTGCCCGAAACGCTATGCGTGCTAATGACTTTACAAGAATGTAAGAACTCTTGTATTTATAAATATGCCTTCTCGACGCAAACAGCTTTGTCATTACTACGGCAGCCTGAGGCCAGTAATTTTCCGGGAACATCAACAAAATCTAG